GATGAAGCAGCACTCATCATCATCATCATCATCTGGAAGCTTCCAGTCCATCAGCTCTACTTCAAACTATAAATTAAAGGGACAGTTCACCCAAAAATGATCATTCGGTCATCGTTCACTCACCATCAAGTTGTTTCAAAACTGTATGAATATTTTGAAGAATGCTGGTAAACAAACAGCTGTTGGTCCCATTGACTTCCATTGTATTTTTTCCCTACTATGGGAGTCAATGGCTGCTGTCAACTATTTGGTTACTAACATTCATCAAAATATCTATTCAGATTTGAATCCTGTGGAACATCTTGTATGAATTGTTACACATGACAGAGAATATTTTGGACCCCATTGACTTCCATTGTATTTTTTTCCTACTATGGAAGTCAATGGCTACCGTCAACTGTTTGGTTACTAACATTCTTCAAATTTAAATTTTTAGGGCCCAATGAAATATCTACTGCTGTGTTCAACAATTCATACAACATATTTTTTAAATAGCTGCTGGTAGCCATTGACTTCCATGGTATTTTTTTCCCTAGTATGGAAGTCAATGGGGACCAATGGCTGTTTGTTTACCAGCATTCTTCATAACATCTTCTTTTGTGTTCAACAGAAGAAAGAACCTCATACAGGTTTGAAAAACCCGAAGGACAGTAAACAAAGACAGAATTATTATTTTTGGGTGAACTGTCTCTTTAAGTAGAAATCAACACAAACATTCCTATCGTTCCATCAGGAATCTGATTCTCCATAAAGTAAGGTTTCGCTCTACAGCACAAACTCACTGCATGATTCTCTATACAGCTGTGATGAAGCACAAACAGAAGGTCTTTCTCCTCTGAACAAATCAAATCCGCACGCTTCACTGTGATTGGTCAGCTGTGGGGCTGGCCGCCGCCCCCTCGTCGTTGCTGCTGTCCACTTCCTGTTCCATGGCAGCTTCCTCGTCCAGACGCTGGCTGGTGAAGTCGGAGATCTCCAGGAAGCCGCTGGGCTCCACCACCACGTTTGATTGGCTGGAGTCGGGCATGATGGAGTACTGCGGGATCACCTGACCACAAACACACATCACATGACCTCAGCAATGCGGAAAACGCAGAATCCACTGTATAAATCTTGTGTGAATAAATCAGAAGCAGGTCTGTAGACTGAATCAGGTCTGGACGAGTGTGTGTGTGTGTGTGTGTGTGTGTGCGCGCGAGTTTGCTCTACTACACACACTGAAACACAAAGATCTGCACTACAACCCGCCAAAATAAAAGTTCGGTTCAACTTGAAGAAATTATGACAGAAATATATTACTATTGTACAATACAATGCACTTCTCAAAGTAGTAGTAATAATACTAATAATAATTTACTCAAACACAACTTTAAAGCTCTTCACATCAACCTACCAAAATAAAAGTTTAGTTTAACTTAAAGAAATTATGACAGAAATATATTACTATTGTATTTCTCAATGTAATAATAATTCTAATAGTATGACTACTAATAAAATAATTACTAAAACTTTTTTTTTTAAAGAAATAAATCACACATTTCATCATGTTTTAATTTTAACAGTAAACCTCTGTTGTGTAGCACTTTGTTTAATAATTACTAAAACTTTTTTTTTTTAAAGAAATAAATCACACATTTCATCATGTTTTAATTTTAACAGTAAACCTCTGTTGTGTAGCACTTTGTTTGCCAAAAAATTTAATATTTAAAATTAAAGAATTAAAAATAGTTTAATTTTCGTTTGATTAAACAGTTAATTAAAATGTTTTATGCATTCATGCCTTATTATGAATAAAAAAAAAAGAATAAATTAAGTTGTTTTTATGAATTCAATTAATTAGACAAGCTTTTTGATTTTTTAAATTTGATTTAACCATTAAAATGGAATCCAGAAAATTAAAACAGAACAAATTTAATTTAGAAAAAAAATAAATAACAGAATTTGGGAAAATATAAAACAGATTTCACAGGACTGTACGCAACAGATGTTCTGGAGAAGAACGACGGAGTTTGGGTTTCTTACTATTGCCACCTTTGGCTTGCTTAGCTGGGTCTAAATACACTTGATATTCAGTAATATGATTGATTTGATTGCACTGACACTACCTTGATCTGAATAATGACACTACTGCTTACAGCTGACCTGAGTTGGTCTCATATGTGATGAAGTCTGCATCACTGATCCTGTTCTTTTCCTGTGAAGCTGCTTTGAAACGATCTGTACTGTATGAAGCGCTACAGAGGTGAAGCGTGAGAGGAGCACCTGTATGATGTCCAGGTCTTTACTCTTGACGCGGCCGAGCGTCTGTTTGGAGCTGCTGATGAGCGGCGAGGCGCTCGGTGGTTTGGTCAGCGGGCCGCAGTCGCTGGAGGAGTCCACCACCATGGGCTCGATCTCCGCCTCCATCATGGAGATCTTCAGGATGTCGGAGGTCTTCTCCGGCGCCGTCACGCTGGAGCTGGACTCCGGCTGGAGCTTGACGGACGCCTCGCCGCTGCTGGACACCGGGGGGCACTGATGAGCGCCGAACGTGATCTTCGTGACGGACGCTCCCTGCGTGATGATCGGCTGCTGCAGCTGAGACACACACAGAGAACCGTCACTGCAGGAACGATTACCATAACCAGCACCTTCATAAACAATCACTCTAAGAGTGAGTCCACACCACGACAACAGCAAAGTTTTAATTATCATTCATATTCTGTGAAAATAACGACATCCACATCACGACTATAATGGTAACGACTCAAGCATTTAAACCTGCAGACAACAAAACTGCAATGCATGTTTTAATAAACAAAGTTATCGTCCACAGGTCTGAATGCTAATATATAGACAAGGTTTTATTTATCATTATAATTACCATCGTAGTTAACAATACAGTTACCATCACAGTTATCATTATAATTATCATCATAGTTGTCATATTAGCTAGTGTCAGTTATCATCATAGCTATTGTCATCATTATAGTTATAGTCATAATTGTCAATAGTTATCATCAATTATCAATATAGTTATCATAATTGTCACAATTATCATTGTTGAAAAACTAATAATGAACAAAATTATAAAAATGTAAATGTAAAATTAAAAGAAATAATAATGAAAAAATAAAACTAAAGATGAAATGTTTTATCTGTTTAGATGCATGTCATGTGACCATTAACTGTCCCCTGATGATCTACATCAGTGGATGAGACGGATCAATATCAGCGCTGGTCTCACCTGGCTGCTGCTGGGAGTCTTGCTGGAGCACACGGGGTGATGCGCCTGCAGCGGCGGCGGCTGCGACAGCTGCGTGTGTGTGTTGGGCCGGTGGTGTGAGGAGGGTGCCTGCTGCAGTTTGGGCAGCTGCGGTTTGTGTGGAGGGTTCGAGGAGACGAGCGTCGCAGACGCAGACGCAGCAGCTCTCTGTACGGAGACTCGGGGCGTGAGAGGCTCCGCCCTCTTAGAGGAAGTGGGCGTGTCAGATGGGCCGGCTGCAGGTTTGGGCTGTGACGAGCGGTAGAACAGACCCGTCTGAGGATCCAGAGTGTCTCCCTCTAGCTCGCCCTCCTCCACCACCATCTGCTCCTGCAGCGGCTTCACCTGCGGCACACACGCCTCCACCTGCGCAAACACACACACACACACACACACACACCTTCAACAGTGCTGAACACTGCAGTGTTTAGAGTGCATTTGACAGCAGAGTTCGGTTTGTTTGGTTGATACTGAACAATGTGAAGTTTGGTAGTAAATCTAGTTAAGATGGTAAACAGCTCCCTCTGGTGCTCACAAGGCTTCTTTACACATCTGAGTTAAGGCTTAAAATTCAGTGTAAAGATGCAAAGCTGCATAAAAGCCAGACTAAATGAAGACGCCTCAGCCCCTCATAAATGAAACGCAGCATCAGAGCATTCATTTAGTTATTATAATAATAATTGAGTTATTTAATTTAGTTCTAATAATAATTTAGTTATTATAATAATAATTTAGTTATTTAATTTAGTTCTAATAATAATTTAGTTATTATAATAACAATTATTACTATTGTTAAATAGCAACAATGCAATTACAATATATATATATATATAATTTAATTTTTTTTGCCATTTAATAATAATAATTATTATTTAATATAATAATAATAATTATTATAATATATTCATATATTAAAAATCAACATATAATAATTATTGTTGTTTTAATAATTGCAATTAGATGTTTCCCTAATTTATTCTGCCTGTTTTTTAATGAAATAATGCACATGAAGTTTCAAGTCTGGTACAAAATTGCCAGTGAATTTTCCTTATTTTTCTCATAAATATTTGCATATTTAAAACATTAATCTTGTAACATTATTGTTGCAGTTTTAGATGCATTCCTGTAGCTCAATGCCAAGGTTATGGTTCAAGGAATGCATGTAAAGTAATTGTAGTATAAATGCGTTTATGCCCGTCAGACGCGGGAGTGTAAATCAGTGGCACAAACATATGCGGTCACATGACTGTGTGGTTCTGACCGGTTGTGTGGCTGTGGTCGGCACTGCTGATGGTGGACAGGACACTGATTGACTCTGGCTGCTGGACTCAGTGACGTCTCCTCCGATCACAGCCTTACACACTTTACCTGAAACAGCAGAGCAACATCACAGTGAAGTCTTTAAAATCTAAATATAAAACGGAGAGTTCCGGTGCTTGATTCTGATTGGCTGAGCCGCGTTCGAAGCTGTTGTAAATTACTCTACAAACATACACCTTTGTTTACGTTTGTGTGTTGCTCGGCAACCACTTTGTTGCAACCACAACTGTTTCTGAGGCGCTACATTGTTTGGTGGAAGAATACTGTTTTTATTAATATCATTACACTTTATTTGCTCCGTTTTATTTTGTGAAACCTTACTACATATATGGAATAATAAAGCAATAAACCCCGTGAAGCTGTGGTTTACAGTGAATTTATAACAGCTAAGGGGGTTTTAGGCACTCCGCTTCGCACCTAACAACGCCCCTTAGCTGTTATAAATTCACTGTAAACCACGGCTTCTTGGGGTTTATTGCTTTATTAAACGGACGGCTCACCCAAAAATGATCATTTTGTCCTCATTTACTCACCCTCCACTTGTTCCAAACCTGTATGAGAACGTTGGTAATAACCAAGCAGTTGACGGCACCCATTGACTTCCATTGTACTTTTTTTCCATACTATGGAACTCAATGGGGACCAACAGCTGTTTGGTTAAACACACAGGTTGAGGGTGAGTAAAGGATGACAGAAGTCTCCCTTTAAGACCTGCACAAATAAAATGAATACTGTGTGACCGAACTCATCCATCTCAAAATAAATCACATATCTCAGGCTGCAACGTGCATTTATGATGTTTTTATGACTTCTTCTTCAGGACCCGCAGTGACCCTGCATCATGAGATGTTTCTCGAGTGTGACTGAGCTGAGTGAGGTGTTGATGTTACCGATGGGGATGTATTCAGTGACCGTGTCCGTGTCTCCGGCGCTCTGACCCGACGGCTCCGGGGACTGTCTCCTCTCCGCCGTCACTGGGATCGGCACTGCCATGTGACTCAGGTCGATGGTGTGCTGGCGTGGTTTGGCGTCGCTCTTCTCCTTCACTGTAACATCACACACACACACACACACACACACACACACACGTGTTAATTCAGCAGGAGTGCGACAGAGGAGCTCAGATACGCGGGTCAGACACACACCGCTGGTCCGCCGCAGCTCCAGCAGGGCTTTGATGGTGGATGTGGCCGACTGAGACTCTCCCGTCATGTCCTGGTAAATGATGGTGGGACTCGCCTCCACAGACACCTCCTGCTCCGTCCACTCCTGCCCCCTGGAGGTGATGAGGTGCACCACCGGCTGAGCGTCTGAACAGAGAGAGAACACACTTAAACACTCAAAGCCTGCAGCAGCCACAGAGTTCTGACACACAGCCGAGTGAGATGCTGATTGGATGCTGGAATGTGGGCGTGGCTTGAATGCAAGTGGACTGTAAGGGGCGGGGTTTAAGCAGAATACATGACTAAAGAGATTCTGCATAAATCTGTCGTTATAGTGCATGGTCAAAAAATGTTTGAGGCAAGATACGACAGGTGATTAGGGTAAAAACATTAATAAATATCAGCAGATTAATCGCAGTACATTAAAATAATTGTTTTCTGAAATGTTGTTTTAATATGCAATGAGGCACCAACAGATTAAATATGCACTCATTTCCAGAGGATTGGATAAAGGCAGGTTATTAAAGGTTTTTCCAGAGGGGATTCTGGATTTCTCTTTCTATCACTCTATAAATCAGAAAATAGTGTCAACTGACAGAAAACAAACATTTCCACCATGGTTTTAGGACTAAATTGTGCAGTGTGAATGAAATATCAGCAAACCTTCAGAATATAGACAGGAATAAAACTGTAAAATCTGGTGTGTGTTTGAGGAAAAAACTCTTTAAAGATGTGGATTGAAATCTAGAGACGCAAATAGATAAAGTGCGATAAAAGAAACGATAAATGTGTATCTGGGGTGTTTTCTTTCCACTAGTCTGAAAGAAGAGACATGATATAGAGCAAAAAACTGAGCAGTGCATGAAAACACAATGATTCATTCATCATTCATATTAAGATCAGTAACGTGCATTTAGAGAACAGATAACGTGAATTTGCATTTCATGCAGACTTTAAACTGCAATGGATAGTTCATCCAAACATGAAAATTCTGACTATATGTGACCCTGGAGCACAAAACCAATTGAAATTGAGATGTATGCATCAGCTGAAAGCTGAATAAATCAGCTTTCCATTGATGTCTGGTTTGTTAGGATAGGACAATATTTGAAAATCTGGAATCTGAGGGTGCAAAAAAATCTAAATATTGAGAAAATCATCTTTAAAGTTGTTCAAATGAAGTTCTTAGCAATGCATATTACTAATCAAAATTAAGTTTTGATATATTTACGGTAGGAAACATACAAAATATCTTCATGGAACATGATCTTTACTTAATATCCTAATGATTTTTGGCATAAAAGAAAAATGTATAATTGTGACCCATACAATGTATTGTTGGCTATTGCTACAAATATACCCCAGCGACTTAACACTGCTTTTGTGCTGCAGGGATACATATTTACTCACTGTATGAGTTTCTTTCTTCTGCTGAACACAAAAGAAGATATTTCCCATCGACTTCCACAGTATGGAAAAAAATACTATGGAAGTCAATGGGGACCGACAACTGATTGGTTGAACACATTCTTGTGTTGTGTTCAGCAGAAGAAACAAACTCATACAAGGTTTTCAAAATCCTGAAGGAGAGTAAATGACGACTCGCTTTTGAGTAAACGAAGATGAATCATTTTTGTGTGAACTATCCCTTTAAGACTCATTGAGTCATGTCCACATGAGATGCACTGGTGAGTCCACACTGAAGCGCGTGATCTACGTGTGCTGACCGTGAGTGCTGTCAGACGACACCGGGCTGCTCTCCGTATACGAGGACAAGTCGTCCTGGCCGGATCCGGCGCTGCGTGAGACCTGCTGCAGCGTCTCGCTCACCAGCTGACGGGTCTGTTCACTCACCAGCGCCGTCTGAAACGCCATGGGCTTGGGCTTGATCAGGACCTGCGCACAACACCATCATTACTGATCATTAGGGCTGGGTAAAAAATATCAATATCTCGATATTAATCGATTCTCATTTTTACGGAACGATATCGATTCTTAAATCCCAAGAATCGATTATTCTAGCCTGTTTTCAGTTAATGGACGGAGTGTTGAAGGGCACCTCCCAACCAATAAATCGCAATAAGCATTGTACTTTGGTACTTTTAATATGAAACAGTCTCAGATTTCAAATTCTGTCCATTGTATTGCAGTATTCAAACAATAAATGCCGTTTTGGCGCTGTTTAATGTGGAGTGATCGCTGTAGCGCCTCAGTGAACTG